GTACTTACAAATCGGCAAAGTCAGAATTTAAAAACAAATCCATTTTTTTCCGACAAAAAAAAACTTTTTTTAAAAAGTTTTTGTTTTTTTTAGTTTCTTTTTTCATGTTGTAATTTTTAAAACTTATTAAAAAAAAATAAATCAAAAATTGGAATTTTAAAAAAAATTTTTTTTTTAAAAATTACGTTTTGTTTAGTTTATTTTTTTATGTTTTAATTTTTAAAAACTAAAAAAAAAAAAAAAAAAAATTAAAGTTTTTTTTTAAAAATAAAAATTTTTATATTTCATGTTTATTGAAATAATGGTCACAATTTGGTAAATCCATTAGAATTAACATTTCTGGACTATGATTACTAGATTCTAACTCTTTTCTTGACTTAACATGCCGCAATGAGGAAATTAGAGGATCAGAAGATGCAGCCAACATATTGAACAGATCCTCATTTTCCCTCATTCTTGATGTCTTAAATGTATCAAATAAAAACACCTCTTAACGAGGTAAAAAACTAGTGACGACCGCACCTTCAACATACAAAAGTTCTGATATCAACATTTGTGACGAAAAATTATTACACTCGTCATTAAATAGACTTTCTAATATTTTCTCATTCGGCCCGCCCTAGCAAACTATTCCAGCCTTTTTCCCCTTACAGGCATTTTCTATTGCAGCGTGACGAATGAGAAAAGTAGTAGTATAGAAGTTACGGCTTTCCGAATTTTAGCTACTTATAGCTGTTTTCCCGCTAAACTAGCGGGTTTTTCCAAAAGTGGTAGAACAAAAGTTTTTTATATCGATGTGATGAACGTCATATCAAATTTTCAGAACTTAAAAAACATATTTTGGACAAGTGGACAAGTGGACAAGTGGACAAGTGGACAAACAGAATTAAATTTTCATTTTGGGAAGAAGAAGAAAATCTTATTTTGGCTATAACTTTTGAACGGAGAGTCGGATTTTGACAAATGACCCCTCATTCGACGGGTATTTTCAAAAGGAATACAACTAAAACATTGCGAGGGGGCATTTATCCCCACCGGCCCCAACAGCTCCAAATTTCGAAATTTTCACTTTTTCACTTTCACCGCTCTCTCTCCCAAGCCAATTGATTTTCTTAAAGTCTTGGTATGCAATCCTGTTAGTTTTCGCAATACCTTTCGATAGGTGTATTATTCATTATGATCGGACCATCACAGTAGATTTTCATTTCTTCGTGTATATATAGTAGTCGCCTTCGCACACTCTCCTGGTGCGCTTCGTCACTACATGGACTGCCGTCCATAGTGATTCAGCAATCTGTATTTTTTATAAAATTTGTTTAGCGATTCCTGCGCTTCTTCGGAAAGCTCTCCAATTGGCAAACACTGGTATTCGATTATTTCTTTTCCATGCGCCAATATCTTATGGACTGTCGGGGTCAATTTCTTTTGTGGATACAATTCCTCTAAAAGTGATGCCGTTTTTGAGGCATATTCTCCATATTTTGTAGAGTTAACCTTTTCCTTGCAGTTTAAAACATTTAAGATGGTTCCCAACCTTTTAACTATTTCATTGTTAATTCCAGTGATTCGAGTAACAACTTCATGTTGTACAAAAAATCTCCTCGAAGTATTTCCATCATTTGAGTTTCCGTATCCGTATTTAGGGAAATCTACTTTTAATCCAACTTCCTTGAAAAAATCGTTCTGTATTCTCTTCTTTCTGATGCTTTCCTTATCCTTATTTGATGTGTTTTCTTCAAAGTGTTCATTTTCGTTTGGAATAATATACGCTAGTTTCAGCAAGAACTCCATACACCTTATCCGAGCATGTAAGGGTGAAATTCCATATTCATAATTTTCCTCATCTGTAGAATCGTTCAAATCTTTTCCAAAATTCTTTTGCGTCCTTTTGCAGATTGGGCATGACTTCGTTGACTTAGTATTTGTCAGTTCATTAACGACTTTTCCGTCAACCATGGTCAGGTGAAATTCATAGTAACATTTAACATATTTTCCTTCACTAATTTCCAGTTTTACGGGCTTTATCTTGCGAATTTGTTCTTTAATGTCATTCACAGTGTCTTTTATCAGTTCCGGTGATTCCCTTGCGAATTGAAACATAATTGGTCGGCAATAATGTACTGATGACGGACGAGGGTTTTTCCAATATTCAAACTCATCAGATTTAATTCTCAAGGGAACAACGGATGCCATAAACATATTTCCGTCCGATACTGTAGGGTCATCGGAAGATATCCTTTGTTTATAAACGCTTTGTCCAGATGATCCATCGCAGCCCCATTTACTGATCAGTGTCAGTTTTTCCGGAAGATTTCCAGAATTCGTTTTGCTGTGTGATTCATAAGATCCTGGAAATTGGTTTTCGCAGATACTTCCGTAAATTCCGTATTGGGTGGTCGTGAACTTTCCTTTGCTTTTGAAATATACTTGTATCCGGGTAAAAGGTCGACTCCGTGCCGCAGTAAAGATTTCCGTAATATCTCATACTTTTCTTTTGAAAGTTCTAAGTCCATAAATAAAGCCAATGCCTCTTCCAAGCCATACTTCTTAATAAGTCCATTCGGAGGCGTGGGAATGCTTTCCTTAATCCTTATAAGTCGAGGCGGACTTGCCTCAGCAACCGATTCTATAATCTGCGCTCTCACTTTTTCATTGTCCTTTTTATATTTTAAAGAAAGCGCTTCGGAAACATTTTCCGTGGTTAAATCATCAGTTGCATCTTTCAGTTTTCTTTTCCTTGTGCGTTCCTGACAATCCTCCATACTTTTAGATGGTCTTCCTCTTCCACGACCTGTTGATGTGGTGGGCTCTTCCTCGGCCGGTATATCCAGGATAGTTTCGTCATTGAGCCAGTCCTCGTATTTCATTGCAAACCTCCCTGCGTTGCGGCTGACATTCGTCCATTTCAATTTAATGCTTGCATATGTCAGATTAAGAGTGTGTAATATATTTTCGTTGCTCTGTTTTAGTTCTTCTATAACAGCTTCTTTGAACTCCGAATAGGTAGTTGTTGACCTAAACAGTTCATATAATTTTGAGTTGTTTAAAGCCATTTTTAACTAAAAAATAAGGAGAATACAAAGAACGTGTCTCGTCAACTTTCAGTCATAGACTAATCCAGGGATTAAGCCTACAATGCAATATATAGTGTGAGGTATTACCTGATAGGTACAAACAGGTAAAGAGTTTATCAAACGCCTTAAAAAGTGAAACGCCAACCTTAGGTAGAATTACGCAATTTAAGTATTTTGCAGGTGTTCAAATTAAATTCCAGCCTACCTGTAGGAGACTGCAAGCTTATATTTTTCTGTCAATGAATGCCTACCTGTATGCACCTGCTAAATCAGAGGACAGTTATATGTTGTTTTGATTCTACATACTACTATATGTACCTGTACATGTATACCTGCATAATTTACCTTTGCATACTACCTGAAGGTAACGCCTCGGTTTTTCAATATTTTTGATAACTAATTGCCAGGCAAAACATATAAAAATTGTAAAATAAAATCCCCATTTGACAATCAATAATAACATAAAAAACGTTTCCCATGAATAGAGATGGTCATTTCACAAGGTAGCGCCATATGCAATTTCTTGGACCATGACTTTTTTCCCTTTTTTGGCTCTTAAAACCGCGGACGCAGGCGGACGCAGCTACAACTTTCGTAATATCAAGAAGAAAGTCCAAATAACGTTTTACGGAAGTATAAAAAAATAGTATTAAATAGTTTTTTTTATTTTCCATCAAAGTTGAAAAATATGGAAAAAATGGACGTTTTGCAAATAACTCATAACTAAGAGATGCGCATGGCAAACTGCAATATGTTTTACTTTTTTTACTCTTAACTAACACACCAATCCGTGGAAAAAAGAAGCAAAGCGATTCGATACCTAGTTTTTAAGAAAAACCCCCCGGAAGTGCGAAAAATTACCTAAAAACGGTGTGTTTTTTTAAGTGAAAAATTGTTCAACTTTGAAAATTCATATCTTTTACAAAAATTTTTTGATTTGAAAAACGGTTACATATTTGTAATAGTGGATCAATTACCTGTCGATTGGTATGGGTCACAACTTTCTAGGACAAAGTCGAAAAAGTGATTTATTGCACGTTTTTTGGCCCAAGGCGCCACTGTGCGTGGGCCTTAAAATTAATGCATTTTACCTAAATAAATTTGCACGGAACTCTGATACCGTTCTAGCGACGCTATAATTCCCAACCAGTTATAGCGCGGCTTGCATGGTAACCCACTTCGATCCTTGAATAAAACAGCGATTTCACTGCTGAACAGTGAAGCCTCTTCGCTCGTTTTTGTGTGTTGGAATAATGACGACTTCTTGAAGACTAAGCCGACATTGACCTCGAGTTAGCTATAAATACCTCTGTATTTACTTTATAATTTGAAACATTTTTCAGTACAAATTTTTAGGCCAAAGAAAGCCTAAAATTTTGGATAGGGGTTTTCTCATATTTTAAGGCATCCAATTACCTAAAATCTAGGCCAAAAATTACCCCATTTCAGGCCATTAATGGCCTAAAATTTTAGGCCATTCAAGGACTTAGCTCCAGTTTTAGGCCAGTTTTACATAAATTCTAGGCCATTTTTTGACATTTTAGGTCATTTTTTTTTCTGGGTGTGTATAAACTAGTTTAAAAGCGATCCCAAATTGATTGTTTTCGTAAAAAAAATTTATGTATTTCGTTAGGTTCCTAAGGCTTTATAAGTTAAGGCTGTTTTATATTTTGCATAACATATTCTGTTTACCTTTTACCAATAATATTTTTGTTTTAAATACAAGGGTCTTACCCTTAATTATCAGCAATTTATTCATCATTGTTATACTGTCAGCAAACAGCAATCAAAGTAATTAGTCCACAGTTTGTCAAGTAGCGTTGGCAAAGCTATTAATAATTAATCAAGAAGGTAATTAAAGTATTTCTAAGGTTTATATAGCATGTGTAGCCATCGAAATCCTTTGACATTCTAAAAAGTGCGGTCATGGCTAGACTTTTTCAACTGCAAGAAAATTGCCTGCGAGCGATGGGGCATAGTGACGACGTGGATATTACCGAACACCGAGCACTCGGCTTGAAACATATAAGCTCCCTCCTCTTTGTCATATCGGCGCAGTATCCATTGATATCTTATGTCGTCTACAACCGTAATGACATGGAAAAAGTCACAGCATGTCTGAGTGTAGTGCTTACAAATATGCTGACAGTTATTAAAATAACTACCTTCCTGGCAAACAGGCGGATTTTTTGGGAGATGATTTGCCTCTTCAGGAATATGGATGAGCAATGTAAATAAGATGCTAATACTTATCGGACAACGATTCTAATAAGACGTCAACTTTAAACAGCAAGTCAAAGGGAGGAAACGCACTACGTAGCCGAAGCTAATAAACTAGCGTCCTTTCTGGGCAAGGCATATTGCCTGTCCTGCGGCCTAACAGGGATATATTTCATGCTGGGACCCATTGTGAAAATTGTCGGTAGTAGTTGGCAAGGCACAACTTATGACAGGGAGCTGCCCATGCCCATGAAGTAGTATTCAATAAAGATTCCTCCAAATTTGTTGCTGATTCTCTCATTCCAGGTTTCCATTTAACGACCTGGGTAGTCCTGGATACGAAATTTGTTTTCTATATACCATACTTGTCACTGTCGTCGTAGTTGCCTATGCATCGGCCGTCGATGGCCTATTTATTTCTTTTGCGATTAATCTTCGAGCTCATTTTCAGACTTTGCATTGGAAAATCGCAAACGAAGAGTTCGCGTTATCCGAAAAGCAGTCCCAAGCGAGACTGAAACGAATTGTGGACTATCATGTACTACTGATTTTCTTATCCAGAAAATTACGAGCGATTTATACACCCACCGTATTTGGACAGTTCGTCATAACATCGTTGCAGGTTGGCGTTATAATATATCAACTAGTGACGGTAGGTAAAATCAAGAGAGAACGCTATAGTCGGGTTGGTGTCCCGACTATCTAATACCCGTCACTCAGCTAAAGGGTGTGCGAACGCTATAGTCGGGTTGGTGTCACGACTATCTAATAATCGTAACTCAGCTAAAGGGAGTGCAAGGGAGATGGATATAGACCATTTTTTTTTATTGCGTTTAACTTTTTAATGAATGGTCCGATTTGAAAAATTTCTACATTTCGATAAGTATACATACATATATACAACGAAATTGCATTTATACTACTCGGAAATCTTTAAAGATGTGGGCGCCTTCCTTCTAGCTGTTACATACTTTTGCGCGAATAAAATATACCCTTTTACTCTACGAGTAACGGGTATAATAATATATGAAGTTTGGTTCCTGAAAGAAAAGTACTCTCCATCATTCAGAACATGGACTCAGTTATGGACCTTTTGTTGTATGCATCATTTTTCGGTTCCATCATGCTGCAATTATTCATTTATTGCTATGGCGGCGAAATCATCAAAGCTGAGGTAAATCTAGAAATAATTTGTACTTTTTGGATGCTTTCATTGACTGTCTTGTAGAGTCTGCAGATTGATATTGCTGTCCAGCTCTCCAACTGGTATTTGGCTTCTCCGAACCTACGAAGATCCTTGTCAATAATTATTTTACAGTCCCAAAAAGAAGTCCTTATTAGAGCGGGCTTCTTTGTTGCTTCTCTAGCGAATTTTGTTGGGGTATAATCATTAAATCTGTAATAAATATAAATCTATCAATTCTTTATTTCTTGCTTGCAGATTTGCCGAACAGCTTTATCATTGATAACGCTAATAAAATCTATTGAGTAATATTAAAAGAATAATATTACAAGTGTCTTTAATCCAGCGGTCGGAACACACATACAGTGACATTTTCTTTTATATTTGTGTGAGTGATTTGCACGCCCACCGGGAAAATTCGTGTGGAAAATAACCTATTTTCATCAGGTTTCTCCATACAAGCGGAAGGGACAAAACCTCATTCACATCTTACATTTCTTCCATCTCTGGTTTCAAAATACACGGGGGTGACACAAAAAGTGAGGGGTAAATGAGGTTTCTATGTGGTTTTCCAAAGGAATTTACATTTTCCCTACACCGTCGCCTGCTAAAAGATACAGGATTTTCAATACTTTCTGCTAAAAGGAACAGTATTTCCAACACACAAAGAATTAGTTAATGTTCAATAGACAAGCTGATCGAAGTACACTAAGCTTCCACTCGTTGTTTGTTTGTAGCCTCTTCCCATAGAGTCCATCCGTTTGAAACGGTTGGGATTTTTGACGAATGTGAAACTCGTGTTCCCACAGAACGCCATCCGCCATGTACCATCTAATAACAGCTGACTGAAGAGCAGTTGCTCAGCTCAACATTAACGAAGGGGGATTTCAACTCGGGAAAACTGTCTACTGGGGCAGAGGAAGGCAACGGAGTATTGTATTTCATAAAAGTGGCTCTAATGGTTGGGTATTTGTTTAAGCTTTCAATGTCTTTATCCCGGTCAATTAAATATCGGTCAAGTTCTTCGCTTACCGGGGATCCTAGAAATATTACATCTGTTGAAGAAACACAAATTATAAATCTGTGCAAATTTATAAATAGTATACAAGTATTTATAAAATTAATTACCTTCAGTTACCTCTCCAAAATCAAAAAAGGTAAACTTTTTGGGCTTTGAAGGTATTTTGGTGACATTATCTGAAAACTTGCTTGCATGTTTTAAAAACATGGCTTTTAGTTTTTGATCGGTCCACTCGGGAGCAGACTGACGTATTGCTGGTAAAAATTTCAGTTTTATGGCCGGACAAGAAACTGCGGCAACAAAGGCATCGTGACATTTTGGATCCACCTCAAAAAATCCCGTGAATCGTTGCTGTAGAGCAGCCAACAGTGGTGGAATTCGGTCGCCTAGGTAACTGAACTCTCCGTTTTCAAGCATCTTTTCCCATTTAACTTTGATCGTTAACAGAGTCGGGACAAAATATCCATAGAACATGTTGGTTTCGCCTTGTAGAAAATCAAGTCCTGACGCCAATGGCTCCATTATTTTACAATACTCTTCCATGTAGTCCAGTTCAGTCGGTGTAAGCTCTGACAGAGTCAGCGCCTTGAACAAGTCCTGAATTTTGTGCCTAAAACGCAATAAATGTTTTAGCGCATCATACAGAGTGTTCCACCGCGTTTGGCATGGCGTCTTTAAGGAGCATCCTAAGATTGACTGTATTATTTCTGCTGTTTTTGGACGGTTACTCTTATTCCACACAGTTGAACATCTGCAAAAACATTTAATACAAAATTAGTTTTAAAATCAATATGTTATTTTCCTATACCTTTTAAGGAGATTCTTATGGTCCTCATACACTCTGCTGTCTGCCTTTATTATATTGGTAAAATCCGTCGTCGCAAGCAAGTTTAACGTATGGCAACCACACCTATAATGCTTGGGCAGTCTAAAGGTTGAGATCTCCAAATATTGCGGAATGTCATCCGTGGTTTCGTCTCCTATGTTTTCCGAGTCTTCTGAACCGACTTCAAAATTAGATTTAAAAGAAAAATAATTATATGACGAAGTTATATATAAATAATATAAACATACCCTCCAATCCAAAGTCTTTGAACGCCTTGACAAAATTGCTCCCATTGTCGGTGATAGTGCAGACAATTTGGTCGTTTGTTAGAAAAAATTCTTCATTAAGGGCTTGCGTAGTTTCAGCAACTCTATTGAAGGCGTGACTTCCAAAAAATCGCCTACACGCCAAAGCAACCGATTGCCTTACAAATTTCTGGTCGATCCAGTGACACGTATACCCGAAGAAGGATTTCTTTTTTGTCGACCATATATCTGCTGTTGTGCAGACGTATCTTACTTGTTTTAAACAGTTAATTAAATAGCTTCTGTGAAAATCAAATTTATCATCAAGTATTTTTGTCAACATTTTTCGGCCCGGAGCCTTGACAGGCATTTCTTCGAAAAGAGCTTCAAAGGATGGGTTCTCCACAATAGACAACGGCGAAAACGAATCCACGACAAACTTTAAGACTTTTTCGTCAAACGCTGCCTGCCTAACACCACCTTTTCTTGCCCTTTTGGAAAGTTGCTGTTTTTCTCTTAAATATTCGTCATATTCGGCGGAATGTTTGTCCTTCAGGTGGTTTATGAAGTTAGACGTAACTTTTATAGATCCACGAAGCTTTCTTGAAGTGGATGGACAAAATTGGCAAGCAGCCAAAACGCCATTACACGCTCTTTGGTGGTTTGTTTCAGACACCTGAATTGGATATGAACGATAATATTTAACAATATTTGTATTCGATTAATTCTAAAGTAAGCTTTCTTGGTACATACAGACTGTGTAATCTTAAAATATTTTCCAGTTAAGATTAACGGTAGTTGTGCCTTTTCTAGAGCGCTACCACTACCAGCTTCGACGGCACTAACCATAGTGCTAGATCTTAATTGAAAAACAAAAAAAAGAGTAAAATCCATCTAGTTTATTTAATATACTTACGAGCAGTTTGATGATGAAGAAGACATCGATCCAATGTCCTTAGTTAGGATAAACGACAACTGTGCGTTCTCTAAATCACTACCAGTACCATCTTCGACGGCCCTAACCATAAGGCTAGTTCTTAATTGGTAACCAAAAAAAAATTTTAAAATTCATGTAGTTTGGTTAATATACATACGAGCAGTTTGATGATGAAGAGTTCGATCCAAAATCCTCAGTTAGGATAAACGACATTTGTGCGTTCTCTGAATCACTACCACAACCATCTCCGACAGCACTAACCATAGTTTTAAAGTCCATTTAAAGTCTATGTAGTTTATTCAATATACATACTTACGAGCAGTTTGATGATAAAGACATAGATATATCACCAACGTCAGATAAATAATAGGTAAATTCACTTTCATTATCCGTTTCGCACTTTAATAACTTTAACTTTAAACAAATTTGAGAGACAGTGTATAACAGTAAATGTGTCAAAAAAATCCCTTCCAACCAAAGACCTTCTAATTTGCAACCAAATTTGGACGCCAAACAAGGATTATTTGGTTAGAAGAGATTTTTGGGACACATCTGATAGCTACGTTAGCCAGTTTAGAAATCGTAGATGTGAACTGGTTGACCGACACTTTTTTAATGAAACAGGCACGGTAAAAGTTATATACATGTTCCTGACCGAACAAGCAAAGGCTATTTCTCTTTTGAATTCAATTCAATTTTCTCTACATTTTTAAATCTTCTTAGCCCAAAAAGAGTCATCGATAAAATCGTAGTTAAAAAATCTTAAATAGCTTAGCGCAGAAATATACGATTTATGTATTTAAATTCCTCCGAAATCAAAAAGTAACTGATTCTTCGAACATTGAAACAAAGTTCTGAAGAATTCGCCTTATAAATATTTTTCATACTTGTGTCAGCGAATCGACATGCGTGTTCTGTGCCAAGGACCAAAGGGTCCTCCTCTTCTGAAGAATTCGCGGTTCAACTATTTTTCATCCTCTGTGTCAGCAAATCGACGAGCTTTCCCTGACCTGTGGAGCAAATGTTCCTCCTATTTTACATGGTCAATCTCAGAAAAGCTACCTATTTTTAGCCAGGGATAATAAAAATTATAGCTTTAATGGAGAAAAGAGAACATTTAATTCAAAACAATGGTAATTAACATTTTTTAAGTATCATTACTTTTTGGAATTACATTTCTAAGTAGCATTGTTTTTGGGGAATTTAATGAAATATATTTTCAGTAGCATTGAAAGCTTCCAATGCCAATGAAATGTGTTTTCAGTAGCATTGAAAGCTTCCAATGCCAATGAAATATTTTTCAGTAGCATTACTTTTTTGACAATCTAATGAAATTTGTTTTCAGTAGCATTACTTTTTTCAATGCCAATGAAAAGTGTTTTCAGTAGCATTATTTTTTTCATGATATTTCAAAAACAATGCTAATGCTTATAGACACAACTCTGGTACGGGGGAAATGAGGTTTCTATCTGTATCTCTGGCAGTAGAATGCAGAACAAAATCCACTGGTTTTTCGACTTCCCGCATTATAGATTTTCCACACGTACTCAGTTTTGGTTTTCACCCCCTTGGAATATACACCCAAAAAAAATTATCATAGAAACTAAACTACCTCAGGGAAATAAGTATATGTGCGTTGAAAAGAATTGGAGAAAAACAATTAAAAACAAAGATAATGTTTTGGATTAAATTTTGTTATATCCTTTGAATTCATATTAACAAAAAAATAGGAATATTGTTTCCGTAATTTTCTAAGTTAACTTAAAATGTAATAATCAACTTTAACTTCATATGAAAAAGGTATATGTGCATACTTAATAAAAAATCAAAATACTGTTCTGAATTTTTTTAAAGAATTATTTTTTAATTTTTTAATAATTAATGTGTTTTGCTTTTTTTAATAACAACTTGATTAATCTGGTAAAGCATTGATGTTGCCAAATTTTGTAGAGTTGTAGGATTAATTTGATGCCATTCTTAGATTAATGCCTTCTTGAGGTCACTTACGGTGTCAAACTGGCGTCCATTCTTATAAACTTTATTGGATAATATTCCCCAAAGATCTTCTATTGGGCTTAGATCCGGATTGATTGCTGGCCATTGCAAAAAAGGTAGGTTTCTAGCTGCCAAAAAGTCCTTTGTTTTAAGAAACGTGTGGATTAACGCGTTGTCTTATTGAAATATCCACTCATCTCCGTAAATGTCTCATGCAAATTCTATGAGTACTGTTTCTAGCAACTTTATTTATATTTCCGCATTGGTTCTAGTTGATATAAAACA